ACATATCGAGAGTGACACCCTAGTGGATGAAATTCTTGAGCTTGATCGGGATGTCCTTGAGTTTACATTTTCTCCAAATTCCCTTCTCACGATCGAGTTGGAGGGTTCATATTTCGAGCCACCACCTTGTGCTACTGATAGAGATGGATATAGCTAGACATGCCCTATGGATATTTTCATATTTCCCGAGGTTGACTATAGAGAGTTGGTGAACAAAGCTCTTTGTAGTACTTAAAGATTGATCGTGCCCACACTCGCTTCTTCAAGAACACAGCCACCCGAATCCACTATGTCTGCCTTCTTGCCACACTGCCCATGCTACCACTGCTAGATAATACGAAGGCGTGGCATGATCGTCACTTCTTTTTGGACCCCGACTGAGTTCTTCACAGGTTTTGTCAAGCTAATGACGTTAAACAAGTGCTTCTTGGGAGGCAACCCAAGTGTTAATTATTGCTTTTCTAGATACTTTCCTTTATTCTTTTTTAGTTTTATCTTTGAATAATTGGAGTTTGGGAGCTTTGTGGTTTTTTTGGCAGGACGTATCGAGGACTGGGTTGAGCATGGGCGAACAGCTTACACATGGATGCTTATTCTTCTCCATGCTACTTCGGTTTGCACACCCCTTCATATTATCTTTTTGAGTTGTTTCTCTCTCTTTTGTCTTTTCTTTTGAGTTTGTGGTCTTGTGTTAGTTGCTAGTATTGGTTCATGATATGATATTCCTAAGGTCCTACTATTTGACTTCCTAGTTTTGTGTTGAAGCAATGAGAACATTGCCTTATTTCAAGTGTGGGGAAGTTTACTTCGATTTTGCATGCTTATGTGGTGGACCGGTCTAATGTAGGTTTTATGTGTTTTGGAGCCTGTACTTTGGAAATTTCAAGATTAGTTAAGACTTGTTTTATGAATTCGATGAGATACATCGGTCGTGCTCGTGTTTGATTAGAACTTTCTCTGAGTCTGCATTGACATAAATCGATTTGAATTCTAAACAGTGAATATGATTAAGGCGTTTATATTTTTTTTCATTATTTCTTTCTCTGTAAAGTATTCCCTAGTTGCCCCTTTTAAGCCAAATTGTTTTTGTTTTCTATAACCTCGTAATTACACTTTTGTGGAGTAGAGGAGTTCAGAAGTGGGGTGACCGATTGTGGTGCAGAGTTGTTTCTATTCAAAAAAAAATAAAAAAAATAAAGTCGAATGGATTATACTGCAAGTGCTCCGACCACTAGCCTTAGTGGAGGTGAGCAATAAGTACGTGAAA